GTTGTTTAATCTCTGAAAAGGCACAGTGTGCCATTATTTGTGTTAGTAATTAAGTATTAAATAAAGGTTGTATAAAACTAAAAAAATTACTCTATATTTCTCTCCCTCTCTCACTCTATTTCTCTCTCTTTCCCCCTCTCTCTCTCTCCCTCTCTCCCTCCCTCTCTCTCTCCCCTCTCTCTCCCCTCTCTCTCCCTCTCTCGCTCTATTTCTCTCTCTTTCCCCCTCTCTCTCTCTCGCTCCTCTCTCTCCCTCTCTCTTTCCCTCTCTCCCCTCTCTCTCCCCTCTCTCTCTTTCAATTTAATTCAATTCAATTTGCTTTATAGGCATGACGTACAACAATGTACATATTGCCAAAGCGTACTTTGGAGATTTACAATATTAACATAATTAAAATAATAATAATCAATATTGTCAACAGGACAACAGTAACAACAATCATCTTTAACCATCCATTGAACAATAACAATGGCATAGAGGACATGTGCAGGTTGGTTGGTCTGTCAGACACTGTCCTTCATCTTATGGCAGGCAGCAATGTAGTGCGCTGCCAACCCACAGCTCTCTGCGTCCTCCCCCAACAGGACGGGTAGCCTGAGTCCTCCCCCAACAGGACGGGTAGCCTATCCTCATCAGAGAGGTCTTTGAAACCTTGAATAAGGGTTTCAAATTTGGGGAAATTACATTTATATATTTTTGACTTTTTTGACATTTTGTCAGGAAATGTAGCTATGTCTCGGGTTCTGCTGTGGTGCAGTGGTTGGACAGCCTTTCCTCTACAGGAAGCCATGTTTTTTGTTGTTGTCTTTCTCTCTCCTCTCTCTCTCTTTTTCTCTCTCTCTTTATTGTTCTATTTCCTCCCTCTCTCTCAGTTGAAAGCTGTGTAATATAGACAGACAGTGTGTGCTTGTTGACCAGACTCTTTGCCAGTATTGTCAATCAATCACATTCATTTATAGAGCCCTTTTTAACAACAGTAGTTGCCACAAAGTGCTTATACAGAAATCAAGCCTCTCTATTGTCTCGCTACCGTAGTGATAGTGACATATATCAGAGCGGGACGTTGGCTGAATATGTCACGTCCGAGACCATACACACTTATTACACATTCCACACCACCATGTTCCTCAACATTGTTTCTCAACCTTTCATTAAACCAGGAATCAGCAAGGTAGGGCCCATGTTCCTTCCTCACGTTATTAATTAGCACTTGAGATGTGACTAAATCAGTGTGAACTATGACAGCTCTGCAGCCATGTTAATTAAGATTTAGACAATGGTCTACGTGTGTGTCTTTTTGTATTACTCCTGGTGGATCTCATGATAGGGCACTGTTGACAACCAACCCACAGCAGAAGGAGAGAGGGTGAGACCAGGGCTGTTTCCTCTCCGCTGTATTAAAACTGTGTCTCTGTGTGTGTATGTGTCCTCACAGCTTCATTAAAACTATACTTGGGGAATGAAGATGTCCTCCCACTCACACACCAAGCTGGCTATGAATGGAAACATACTGTTTATAACCCATCTCTACTCAAAACCAAGACTGTTGCATAGCAATGATAGAGTATTTGAGTAATCAAATGTGAGTGTTTGAATATCAATAAGGTTTGAGGTTGATCAGGTTGATGAATCAGCATATTTAAGCATTTACATTTACATTTTAGTCATTTAGCAGACGCTCTTATACAGAGCGACTTACAGTAGTGAGTGCATACATTTTCATTTGTAAACTATCTAAACAAGCTGTCAGCTTGATTTGAGATTGATCCCCATAATGTACTTGAGGTCAATTGATATTGTATTCAGAGTTTAAATCAGGCAGAACTAACGTGTTGGTTGACAGCGAGACCAGAGTCCGTCTAAGGGTCTGTATTCTACTGTATAATATGTATGTTTGGTATTCAGAGAGCAGAGGAGATGACTTTAGTGTTAACACAAGGCCCAGAGGTGACTGTCTGTCTGCTAGTGACTGAGACACATGATTGGCTTCAGTACACTGATGAGATGATGCATTCTGCCTTTCACTTCATTTTCCTGACTGATAAATGGCTTCATTCATACACTACATGACCAAAAGTATGTGGACACCTGCTTGTCGAACATCTCATTCCAAAATCATGGGTATTAATATGGAGTTGGTCCTCCCTTTGCTGCTATAACAGCCTCCACTCTTCTGGGAAGGCTTTCCACTAGATAATGGAACATTGCTGCGGGGACTTGCTTCCATTCAGCCACAAGAGCATTAGTGAGGTCGGGCACTGATGTTGGGTGATTAGGCCTGGCTCGCAGTTGGCGTTCCATCCCAAAGGTGTTCGATGGGGTTGAGGTCAGGGCTCTGTGAAGGCCAGTCAAGTTCTTCCACACCGATCTCAGCAAACCATTTCTGTATGGACCTCGCTTTGTGCATGGGGGCATTGTCATGCTGAAACAGGAAAGGGCCTTCCCCAAACTTTTGCCACAAAGTTGGAAGCACAGAATCATCATTGGTACAAAGGGGCCTTGCTCGAACCATGAAATCAGCCCCAGACCATTATTCCTCCTCCACCAAACTTTACAGTTGGCACTATGCATTCAGGCAGGAAGCGTTCTACTGGCATCTGCCAACCCAGATTCCTCCGTCGGACTGCCAGATTGTGAAGCGTGAATCATCACTCTAGAGAACACCTTTCCACTGCTCCAGAGTCCAATGGCGGTGAGCTTTACACCACTCCAGCCGACGCTTGGCATTGTGCATAGAGATCTTAGGCTTGTGTGCGGCTGCTAGGCCATGGAAACCCATTTCTTGAAGCTCCTGATGAACGGTTCTTGTGCTGACGTTGCTTCCAGAGGCAGTTTGGAACTTGGTAGTGAGTGTTGCAACCGAGGACAGACACATTTTACGCGCTTCAGCACTCGGCGGTCCCATTCTGTGAGCTTGGGTGGCCTACTACTTCGCGGCTGAGCCGTTGTTGGTCCTAGACGTTTCCACTTCACAATAACAGCACTTACAGTTGACCGGGGAAGCTCTAGCAGGGCAGAAATTTGACGAACTGACTTGTTGGAAAGGTGGCAACCTATGACGGTGCCACGTTGAAAGTCACTGAGCTCTTCAGTAAGGCCATTCTACTGCCAATGCTTGTCTATGGAGATTGCATGGCTGTGTGCTCGATTTTGTACACCTGTCAGCAACGGGTGTGGCTGAAATAGCCGAATCCACACATTTTTGGAATTTTGGGTATTTTATCCCCACAGTGAAGCATGGTGGTGGCAGCATCATGCTGTGGGGATGTTTTTCATCGGCAGGGACTGGGAAACTGGTCAGAATTGAAGGAATGATGGATGGCGCTAAATACAGGGACATTCTTGAGGGAAACCTGTTTCAGACTTCCAGAGATTTGAGACTGGGACGGAGGTTCACCTTCCAGCAGGACAATGACCCTAAGCATACTGCTAAAGCAACACTCGAGTGGTTTAACGGGAAACATTTAAATGTCTCGGAATGGCCTAGTCAAAGCCCAGACCTCAATCCAATTGAGAATCTGTGGTATAACTTAAAGATTGCTGTACACCAGCGGAACCCATCCAACTTGAAAGAGCAGGAGCAGTTTTGCCTTGAAGAATGGGCAGAAATTCCAGTGGCTAGATGTGCCAAGCTTATAGAGACATACCCCAAGAGACTTGCAGCTGTAATTGCTGCAAAAGGTGGCTCTACAAAGTATTGACTTTGGTAGGGTAAATCGTTTTCTGTTTTTTTTGTCTTATTTCTTGTTTGTTTCACAATAAAACATATTTTGCATCTTCAAAGTGGTAGGCATGTTGTGTAAATCAAAGGATACAAACCCCCCCAAAAAATCAATTTTAATTCCAGGTTGTAAGGCAACAAAATAGGAAAAATACCAAGGGGGGTGAATACTTTCGCAAGCCAGTGTGCATACAGGACCATCTTCCCTGTCCTGCCTACCCATGTCCCCTCTTCTCGCCCCCAAACCTCCTCCACAACTCACCCTTCTGTCTCGTCTCGTAACCCTTGTTATGAAGTAGCCTGTGGAAACGGCAAGCTTACAAATAAAGGAAAATAGCTTGGTGCACATTGTAACACACAGAAGTTAAATGCATAACATTCATAAGTAGAGGTGTTGGAAATCAAAACAGTGGCTGCCAGCAATGTTGAATATTTAATAAGCCAATATACCCAGAACCATAAAGAAAATAAACAGCATGGAACATTAATACCCAGAATTATCAATGCAGCTTCGATGACATGTTGCTAATGCCTTTATGAATATTCCACATTAAAGAGCGAGAGAGAGGAAGGGAGAGAGATGTGTTACTCTGGCAAAGATATCATTTTCTGCCCCTGTCTGACAATCTGGCAATTGTATTGAATAAAATGTTACAATTGATTAGGCTCTGAAAGCGCTGTAAACAGAGCCAGGTAATATATGTATTGTGTATTATTATCCAGCGCTGAATGGGAGATTGCATGGTGCGTGGTTCAGACGGCTTCAGTCCCATGGGTACAGATAATGACACACTCATACGCATGTACACTACAGGTCAAACGCTTGGAAACACCTACTCATTCAAGAGTTTTTCTTTAGTTTGACTATTTTCTACATTGTAGAATAATAGTGAAGACATCAAAACTAAAACTGCTCAAGTGCATTAAGAAGGAAAGAAATTCCACAAATTAACTTTTAAGGCACAACTGTTAATTGAAATGCATTCCAGGTGACTACCACATGAAGCTGGTTGAGAGAATGCCAAGAGTATGCAAAGCTGTCATCAAGGCAAAGGGGTGGCTATTTGAAGAATCTCATATATAAAATATATTTAGATTTGTTTAACACTTTTTTGGTTACATGATTCCATATGTGTTATTTCATAGTTTTGATGTCTTCACTATTATTCTACAATGTAGTTCGATTCTTTCGTTGACATCATTCCCAATGTTATAGATAGTCACATTAGTCTCAGACCCCACACAGTCTGACCTGTCCCCATCCCTCTGTGTGTTTCAGGAATGTGAGCTCTGCTGGAGAGGAGGCCAGGAGGAGGATGAGAGAGTGTGACGGACTGACAGATTCTCTCCTCTACGTCATACAGACCGCTTTGGGCAGCAACGACATTGACAGCAAGGTATGTGTGTTGTGTGTGTGTGTGTGTGTGTGTGTCCATCAGTTCAACAGTAGATAAACAGCTTTATGCATGGCTACCTTCTCAAGGTTGCTGCAGCTCGGTCTCTCTAAATGGCATTTCTTAATCATTGTCTAACATCCCGCCCATCTCTGCTCTGATGTCTCCACGGTAGTGAGGATTGATTGGCATGCACTGGGGCCAGTGGCCATTGTCATTGACTGGTCCCAAGTTATTAGCAGACACTGACAGGGTGATACTTTTCATTGTTTTTGTGGACTTTCTGTTCTCCTGGTATCTCTTTCTTTCTTCCCCTATTCTGTCTTTCTATTTCTTAACCACTTTCTCTACCTCCCTCTTTCTTTCTCTACCTCCCTCTTTCTTTCTCTACCTCCCTCTTTCTTTCTCTACCTCCCTCTTTCTTTCTCTACCTCCCTCTTTCTTTCTCTACCTCCCTCTTTCTTTCTCTACCAGTATCCTGTCACTCTGTTCAAAAAATAAAATTAAAGGGAATTAAATATGTTGTTTACCTCTGGAGTTGTATACCTGTTGTTTACCCCAGGAGTTTATTTTACCTGTTGTTTACCTCTGAAGTTGTTTACCTGTTGTTTACCTCTGGAGTTGTTTATCTGTTGTTTACCTCTGGAGTTGTTTACCTATGGAGTTGTTTATCTGTTGTTTACCAATGGAGTTGTTTACCTGTTGTTTACCGGTGGAGTTGTTTACCTGTTGTTTACCTATGGAGTTGTTTATCTGTTGTTTACCGATGGACTTGTTTACCTGTTGTTTACCTCTGGAGTTGTTTACCTGTTGTTTACCTCTGAAGTTGTTTATCTGTTGTTTACCTCTGGAGTTGTTTACCTGTTGTTTACCTCAGGAGTTGTTTACCTGTTGTTTACCTCTGGAGTTGTTTACCTGTTGTTTACCTCTGAAGTTGTTTATCTGTTGTTTACCTCTGGAGTTGTTTACCTGTTGTTTACCTCAGGAGTTGTTTACCTGTTGTTTACCTCAGGAGTTGTTTACATCTGATGTTTTCAGAGGAAAATAACTATCTTCTTCACTCTTCTAACAGCTCTGGCCCAAGGTCTGTTCTTATTGGATCCAGTTGGAGCGACTTCGTGTTTGTATTACGTCTGTAATGTCATTGAAAGCATATAGTCAGTATTCTGTTCAATTACATTCATTATAGTTGTTTGTGTAAATGATCAGTCTGAGAGACACTTCTATAAAACAGACAGAGTCGTCCGAGATGACTGATGATTTTTCTTAGCTATTTCCAAGTGGTTTACTTTCCATATTCCTCCCATTCGCCCCGTTTATTAGTGATACTTCACAGAGGCACACGCACACACATACCCCCCTCTGCTGTTTTGGCTGTGTCCTCTTCTAACACCATGTTAAATGGAGCGTGAGACGATGCTTCGGGCTCAGTCATTTTTCCTCATTTGAAATAATTTCTTTAATATCATTTGAAAGTTAGAGCACATCACGATTCATGGATGGAATTAGGCACTCTTCCTTTTAAGTGCTCCTTCACACACATACACAAACACACGTGCACACACACGCACGCACATACACATTTTGGCAGGGTGGGAAGTTAGCTCTTGTGGGAAGTTATATCCTGACCCCCCCCCCCCCCCCCTTCCCCTTCTGTAGACCATAGAGAACTGTGTGTGTATCCTGCGTAACCTGTCCTACCGACTGGCAGCGGAGACGTCTCAGGGCCAGCAGCTTGGTTCAGAGGAGCTGGACGGTCTGCTATGTGACGCCAACGGACGTGACGGAGAGACCTCAGGCTGCTGGGGCAAGAAGAAGAAGAAGAAGAAGGGTCAGGATCAGGTGGGGAAGTTACACACACAGAGAGAGAGAGAGAGAGAGGCACCGACACACTCTATCACACACGCATACACACACATATGTGCATAATGACCGTGTACATATTTTGATATTAATGGAACGAAATGCTTTAGAACGTGCCCCTACCACCTGTATGTAATTATCAGGAAGAATTGACATTCGCGATCTCTCCCAATCTGCAACCGTGACCAATGACCTTACACCTTATTGATTTGTAAATTCAACAAACCAATCGGAATACATAAACATCAAAATACATATTTCTTAAGTGGAAGAATAACCAACCATGTTACACAACACAGACAGTGCAGACACACAGACAGTGCAGATATACATACAGTGCAGACAGATAGTGCAGATAGATAGTGCAGACAGAAAGATAGTGCAGACAGATAGTGCAGACAGACAGACAGTGCAGACAGATAGTGCAGATAGATAGTGCAGACAGACAGACAGTGCAGACAGACAGATAGTGCAGACAGATAGTGCAGACAGATAGTGCAGACAGACAGACAGTGCAGACAGATAGTGCAGATAGACAGCGCAGACAGACAGACAGTGCAGACAGATAGTGCAGACAGATAGATAGTGCAGACAGACAGACAGTGCAGACAGATAGATAGTGCAGACAGAGAGTGCAGATAGACAGCGCAGACAGACAGACAGTGCAGACAGATAGTGCAGATAAACAGTGCAGACAGACAGACAGTGCAGACAGACAGAGCAGACACACAGATGCTATATGGTACAAGCTCCCTCCGAGCCATATCATATCAAGCTCCCTCCGAGCCATATCATATCAAGCTCCCTCCGAGCCATATCATATCAAGCTCCCTCCGAGCCATATCATATCAAGCTCCCTCCGAGCCATATCATATCAAGCTCCCTCCGAGCCATATCATTTGTTCACTGCAGGGATGTCCTGAAGGGAATCAAAGCAAAAGCTTCAAACAGAGAACATTAAAAGACCACAAACTCCTTTAGTATGTGTAACCTGGGAGATTCTTTCCTCTTAGGGGGTCGATGTAATATTGCAGATAGATTGTAGCTTCCATCAATGTAATTGTCTGCATCACTAACAATCTCCCATATTATTTTTGTAAATATATAAATTATATATATATACAGTGGGGAGAACAAGTATTTGATACACTGCCGATTTTGCAGGTTTTCCTACTTACAAAGCATGTAGAGGTCTGTAATTTTTATCATAGGTACACTTCAACTGTGAGAGACAGAATCTAAAACAAAAATCCAGAAAATCACATTGTATGATTTTTAAGTAATTCATTTGCATTTTATTGCATGACATAAGTATTTGATCACCTACCAACCAGTAAGAATTCCGGCTCTCACAGACCTGTTAGTTTTTATTTAAGAAGCCCTCCTGTTCTCCACTCATTACCTGTATTAACTGCACCTGTTTGAACTTGTTACCTGTATAAAAGACACCTGTCCACACACTCAATCAAACAGACTCCAACCTCTCCACAATGGCCAAGACCAGAGAGCTGTGTAAGGACATCAGGGATAAAATTGTAGACCTGCACAAGGCTGGGATGGGCTACAGGACAATAGGCAAGCAGCTTGGTGAGAAGGCAACAACTGTTGGCGCAATTATTAGAAAATGGAAGAAGTTCAAGGTGACGGTCAATCACCCTCGGTCTGGGGCTCCATGTAAGATCTCACCTCGTGGGGCATCAATGATCATGAGGAAGGTGAGGGATCAGCCCAGAACTACACGGCAGGACCTGGTCAATGACCTGAAGAGAGCTGGGACCACAGTCTCAAAGAAAACCATTAGTAACACACTACGCCGTCATGGATTAAAATCCTGCAGCGCACGCAAGGTCCCCCTGCTCAAGCCAGCGCATGTCCAGGCCCGTCTGAAGTTTGCCAATGACCATCTGGATGATCCAGAGGAGGAATTGGAGAAGGTCATGTGGTCTGATGAGACAAAAATAGAGCTTTTTGGTCTAAACTCCACTCGCCGTGTTTGGAGGAAGAAGAAGGATGAGTACAACCCCAAGAACACCATCCCAACCGTGAATCATGGAGGTGGAAACATCATTCTTTGGGGATGCTTTTCTGCAAAGGGGACAGGACGACTGCACCGTATTGAGGGGAGGATGGATGGGGCCATGTATCGCAAGATCTTGGCCAACAACCTCCTTCCCTCAGTAAGAGGTTTGAAGATGGGTCATGGCTGGGTCTTCCAGCATGACAACGACCCGAAACACACAGCCAGGGAAACTAAGGAGTGGCTCCGTAAGAAGCATCTCAAGGTCCTGGAGTGGCCTAGCCAGTCTCCAGACCTGAACCCAATAGAAAATCTTTTGGAGGGAGCTGAAAGTCCGTATTGCCCAGCGACAGCCCCAAAACCTGAAGGATCTGGAGAAGGTCTGTATGGAGGAGTGGGCCAAAATCACTGCTGCAGTGTGTGCAGACCTGGTCAAGACCTACAGGAAACGTATGATCTCTGTAATTGCAAACAAAGGTTTCTGTACCTAATATTAAGTTCTGCTTTTCTGATGTATCAAATACTTATGTCATGCAATAAAATGCAAATTAATTACTTAAAAATCATACAATGTGATTTTCTGGATTTTTGTTTTAGATTCCATCTCTTACAGTTGAATTGTACCTATGATAAAAATGACAGACCTCTACATGCTTTGTACGTAGGAAAACCTGCAAAATCGGCAGTGTATCAAATACTTGTTCTCCCCACTGTATATATATATATATATTTTTTTTTTAATATATTTTCCTTTATTATTTTACCATAACCCTACCATCCCTCCCCTAATTTGAGTAAACTAATGGACACTTAGGCTTCTATTTCCAGCTACATTTTACAGACACAGTATATTTTACGATAGTTATCTTTAGTTTGTTTTTAGCCTTCAGCTCCACTCAACCCCTCCCATCTATCTCTGAACACCATCCAGTTTTGATTTGTATTTGTCATATATTTTTCTAACCGTTCTTCCCTTCAACACACTCCATGCATCAGTCACTACTACTGCTGCTTTACTATTCGCTCAGATCCCTCCCCACGGACCAATCGTATGCTCTGTTCCTCACAAGCCATGAAGGCTCTGTCCAATCAACTCTCATTGCAAACAGTGAAAAACACAAAATGTCTCCAAAAAGTTTTCACCACATTCAGAACTGCTGTTAGGGCATATTTTCTTCACTGTTTCAGTTGTATTTACGTTTTGAAGATCTTCTACCATAAAACCTCTAGGGGAATGGGAATGTATACAACCTGCATCACGCCTTTACCGCCTCCAATCGTGAAGATGTAGGGAACTATGGCTGAAAACATTAAAGGGCACCTCTTTGATTGTTTGATCAAAGAGAAAAGTGTTCTATCTATAGCATATAGACTCTGAGCTGTTGCTAGGAGGGTGTGCTGCCTAGTCGTATTGTACAGAGAAGTGGGAAACTGAGATAGCTGGGGAGAAAGAATACTTTAGGGGATGTACATTATGGATTCCTGACCTCTCTCTCTCACTCCCTGTCTTTATCTTCCTTTTCCTGTCATCATCCTTCCTTTGTCCTTCCTCTCTACCACTCCTCCAGTGGGACGGTGTAGGTCCTCTCCCAGACTCAGCTGACCCTCCTAAAGGAGTCCAGATGTTATGGCACCCGTCCATAGTGAAGCCCTACCTCACCCTGCTGTCAGAGTGCTCCAACCCTGATACACTGGAGGGAGCAGCAGGCGCACTGCAGAACCTGGCTGCAGGCAGCTGGAAGGTATGGTGGACCATCAGTCTGTCTCCTATTCTCTTTACAGGGGTGCATCAGTCTAAGGCTTCCCTCACCTGTCTGTCAGTTTTAACTGCCCCAACCCCCCAGTGGTGCGTCAGTCTAACTCTTCCCCCTCTCTCATCTCTCTCCAGTGGTCCGTCAGTCTAACTCTTCCCCCTTTCTCATCTCTCTCCAGTGGTCCGTCAGTCTAACTCTTCCCCCTCTCTCTCCACTGGTCCGTCAGTCTAACTCTTCCCCCTCTCTCATCTCTCTCCAGTGGTCCGTCAGTCTAACTCTTCCCCCTCTCTCATCTCTCTCCAGTGGTCCGTCAGTCTAACTCTTCCCCCTCTCTCCTCTCTCTCCATTGATCCATCAGTCTTACTATTCCCCCTCCTGTTTGTCAGTCTTATTCTTCCCTCTCTCTCTCTCTAGTTGTGGGTCCGTTAGTGTAATTCTTCCCCCTCTCTATCTCCAGTGGTCCTTCAATCTAACTCTTCCCCATGTCTCTTCAGTGGTCTGTCAGTGTAACTCCTCCCCCTCTCTCTCTTGTTGTGGGTCAGTCAGCCTAACTCTTCCCCCTCTCTCTTCTCTCTCCAGTGGTCCGTCAATCTAACTCTTCCCCCTCTTTTCCTCTCTCTCCAGTGGTCTGCCAATCTAACTCTTACCCTCTCTCTCCAGTGGTCCGTCAGTCTAACTCTACCCCTTCTCCCCTCTCTCTCCAGTGGTCCGTCAGTCTAACTCTACCCCCTCTCCCCTCTCTCTCCAGTGGTCCTTCAGTCTAACTCTTCCCCTCTCTCTCCAGGTGTCCGTCAGTCTAATTCTCCCCCCTCTCCTCTCTCTCCAGTGGTCAGTGTATATCCGGGCAGCGGTGCGTAAAGAGAAGGGTCTTCCTATCCTGGTGGAGTTGTTGAGGATAGACAATGACCGTGTGGTGTGTGCCGTGGCCACCGCACTCAGGAATATGGCCCTGGACGTCAGAAACAAAGAACTGATAGGTAAGACACACACACACACAAACACACTCACACACACTCATAAACACACACACATACACTTCACAGTGCAGCAGCTCTGGCCACCTGTGGGTTGTCAGTGTAACTGAGTAATTGCAGTAGAGGAGCCTTCAGTGGTGGCTGTAAATGAAGCAGCTCAATGGAGTCAGATGGACTTTGAAACAGAGACTTTGATGGTGAATGTGAAGCGCACGGCTAATGACGGTCTGCTAGTCCCATTGTACAGGCCTCACAAGTCAACCTCAACACAGAGAGATGGAGCTCAGCCTCTCATTAACACTGCCTCGGTGTGTGTGTGATTTTCTGTGTGTGTGATTTTCTGTGTGTGTGTGTTTCTGTCTATGTGTGTGTGTGTGTGTGTGTGTGTGTTTGTGTGTGTTTGTGTGTGTGTGTCCGTGTGTGTCTGTGTACGTATACGTGCTCTCGCAGTGACATCACTGACAACCAATTGATCTCTCTCTAATCATCTTGGCTTCCTGGTGTGCTATATGGTTTCCATGGCAACCCATCCCCCCCATCGTCTCAGGCGGTTGTCTTCCAGAGCCCCTAGGAATTCTCAACCAAGGCTGGTGATTGGCAAGAAACGCACATTGTTGCTGAGCTAGAAATTCCAATGGTTGCGATTGGTAAGCCGGGCATTCTAATAGTTGCTATGCTTGGTATTCTGCTGGTGACTATGGTTGTCTTCTTTGGAACCTACGGGTCAATAATGAGCTCTTTGGCACAGTGCAGATATGGTCAAGGGATGCATTTTCCCAAACCACAGATCTAGGATCAGTACTCTACAACCAATTATAACCATAATCATTAGGGGGATGAATACAATCTGATCAGTTACAACCTTTACCTACTCCTTGTAGTATGTGTTAGATATGATGGTAGAAGCCATCACCCAGCTTGGAGCTTTAACAGAAAGACACAGTGTTTTGTTCTGTGCACCGTAAGAGACACCAGGCTGAATAATGTAATTCACAAGAAAACGATGTATAACACTGTTTACCTACGGCTCATATTGGCCTTGCAGAGTCATTCCATTGAACCAGAGAGGGGGGGAGTAGAGAGAGAGAGGGAGTATGAGAGAGAGAGGTAAGTAAGAGTTTAGTGAGTGAAGAGAGTAGAGGGAAAGAGCGTAGAGGAGGAAGAGCTCGACTCCCTGCCTTCTCCAGCCATCGCCTACTCCTCCCTCTATCTCTTCTGCTCTCCAGCCTCATCGCCATCTCATCACTCTCTCCTTCTCTCCCGAAATCCTCGTGTAACGCAGGTTGTCCTCTACGGTGCAACGACTGGACCCCCGAGTAGCGACTCACGCAGCTCTTGCGTCTCGATGATACGCGCCGCTCTACTGGTGAGATCTGTGCGAAGCTGCTGAGGTGACTCAGAGCGAGGATCTAGGCTCGACTGACCCTTGACACAGAGAAGAAGGCTGCATCAGATTGCGCTCACGATTATTGCCCCGGCTCTCTTCCGCTCGGCTCTCTCCCCCTCTCTCTTTTTCCGAGAAAAAAGGCCTCTTGCCTCCGAAAGTATTGGTTGGTTTAAAATTGGAAAAAGCCGGGGCTCAGCCTTTCCTTTTTTTTTCTAACCGGGCCTCTACAACTTTTTTGCCCCCCTTTTTTTTTCCTTCCCCCTTTTTGCCCTATTTGTGATACTGAATGTTTTTCAGAAACTTCCCCCAAAACCCTTAATCTTAGATTTTTTGGGAAAGAAAAAATTTTTTAAGTAACGATTAACAACCCAAAAATTTCATTTTTTTATTTTTACCCCTTAAAATTTCCAAAAAAAAAAAAAAAAACAAAGGTATGGGAACAAACCCCCCAATTCCTATTCCCCAGTGTGAAAAAAGGGGGTTTCCCCCTTTAATCAAACAATCCAAATTTTTTTTTTATAGCCCCTTTTGTAATCACTAATATTCGAAAGGTCTTTAAAAACCCACCCAAAAAACCCCCAAAACAGCTAGTAATGCAGGTGTAGAAGCACGGTGGCTAGGAAAAAACTCCCTAGAAATGGCCAAAACCTAGGAAGAAACCTAGAGAGGAACCAGGCTATGAGGGGTGGCCAGTCCTCTTCTTGGCTGTGCCGGGTGGAGATTATAACAGAACCATGTCAAGATGTTCAAAAATGTTCATAAGTGACAAGCATGGTCAATAATAATCAGGAATAAATCTCAGTTGGCTTTTCATAGCCGATCATTAAGAGTTGAAAACAGCAGGTCTGGGACAGGTAGGGGTTCCATAACCGCAGGCAGAACAGTTGAAACTGGAATAGCAGCAAGGCCAGGCGGACTGGGGACAGCAAGGAGTCACCACGGCCGGTAGTCCCGACGTATGGTCCTAGGGCTCAGGTCTCTCAGTTGGCTTTTTCATAGCCGATCATTAAGAGTTGAAAAACAGCAGGTCTGGGACAGGTAGGGGTTTCGTAACCGCAGGCAGAAACAGTTGAAACTGGAATGGGACCCAAAGGCCCGGGGGACTGGGACCCCAAGGTGGGGCAAACATCCCGGTGTCCCTGACGGAAGGGCCTAGGGGCCAGGGTTTTCCCGAGAGAAGAGAAACGAGAGAATTAGAGAGGGAAAATTAAATTCACACGGGACACTTTTAAGACAGGAGAAGAATCCAGGTATAACCCCCAAATAACCCCAGCCCCCCGACCCATAAACACTGCCCCAAAATACTGGAGGTGGACAGGAGCGGTCCGGGGAAAACCCCGGGGTCCCCAAAACCCAAAAACCCCCGGACGGGCCCAAAAAAGGGAAGGGTATAACCCCACCCCTCTGCCAAAAACAAAAAGCCCCCCACCCCTAGAGGGGTTTCCCAAACCCCCAACTTTCAATCCTTAACAAGGCCCCAGTAAAGCCCCCCCAAAAGGGCTCCCCCAAAAAACACAAAAAAATAAGGGGGGGGCCAAACCCCAGGAAAAAAGGAAATCCCCGCAGCAACCAACCCACTCAAAGTGACGCACCCCTCCTAGGGACGGTCATGAAAGAGCACCAGCAAAGCCAGTGACTCAGCCCCTGTAAACAGGGTTAGAGGCAGAGAAACCCCAGTGGAGCGAGGGGAACCGGCCTGGCAGAGACAGCAAGGGCTGTTCGTTTGCTCCAAGCCTTTTCCGTTCACCTTCACACTCCTGGGCCAGACTACACTCAATCATAGGACCTACTGAAGAGATAAGTCTTCAGTAAAGACTTAAAGGTTGAGACCGAGTCTGCGTCTCTCACATGGGTAGGCAGACTGTTCCATAAAAATGGAGATCTATAGGAGAAAGCCCTGCCTCCCGCTGTTTGCTTAGAAATTCTAGGGACAATTAGGAGGCCCTTACACTCAATAACTGGTTGTACCACCTTTAGCTGCAATGACTCCAACCAAATGCTTCCTGTAGTTGTTGATCAGTCTCTCACGTCGCTGTGGAGGAATTTTGGCCCACTCTTCCATGCAGAACTGCTTTAACTCAGATGACGTGTGGGTTTTCAGCATGAAACTGCTCGTTTTTCAAGTCCTGCCACAACATCTCAATTGGGATTAGGTCTGGACTTTGACTAGGCCATTCCAAAACTTCAAATTTGTTGCTTTTTAGCAATTTTCATGTAGACTTGATTGTGTGTTTTGGATCATTGTATTGCTGCATGACCCAGCTGCGCTTCAGCTTCAGCTCACAAACGGATGGTCTGACATTCTCCTGTAGAATTCTCTGATACAGAGCAGAATTCATGGTTCCTTCTATTAAGGCAAGTCCTGAGGCAGCAAAGCATCCCCAAACCATCACACCACCACCACCATGCTTGATCTTTGGTATAATAATATAATAATAAAATATGCCATTTAGCAGACGCTTTTATCCAAAGCGACTTACAGTCATGCGTGCATACATTTTTGTGTATGGGTGGTCCCGGGGATCGAACCCACTACCTTGGCGTTACAAGCGCCGTGCTCTACCAGCTGAGCTACAGAGGACCACATGTATGATGTTCTTACTGTGGAATGCAGTGTTTGGTTTTCGCCAGGTATAATGGGAGAAGTTTACATACACTAAGTTGACTGTGCCTTTAAACAGCTTGGAAAATTTCAGAAAATGATATCATGGCTTTATACGTTTCTGATAGGCTAATTGACATCATTTCAGTCAATTGGAGGTGTACCTGTGGATGTATTTCAAGGCCTACCTTCAAACTCAGTGCCTCTTTGTTTGACATCATGGGAAAATCAAAAGAAATTAGCCAAGACCTCAGTTATTAGCCAATACCTTTTTTGTAGACCTCCACAAGTGTGGTTCATACTTTGGAGCAATTTCCAAACGCCTGAAGGTACCACGTTCATTACTGTACAAAACAATAGTACGCAAGTATAAACACCATGGTACCACGGCAGCCGTCATACCGCTCAGGGAAGGAGATGCATTCTGTCTCCTAGAGATTAACGTACTTTGGTGCGAAAAGTGCAAATCAATCCCACAACAACAGCAAAGGACCTTGTGAAGATGCTGGAGCAAACAGGTACAAAAGTATCTATATCCACAGTAAAACGAGTCCTATATCGACATAACATGAAAGGCACGGTCAGCAAGGAAGAAGCCACTGCTCCAAAACGCCATAAAAAAGCCAAACTCGGTTTGCAACTGCACATGGGACAAAGATTGTACTTTTTGGAGAAATGTCCTCTGGTCTGATGAAACAAAAATAGAACTGTTTGGCCATAATGACCATCGTTATGTTTGGAGGAAAAGGGGTGTGCTTTGCAAAACCGTAAAAAAAACAAACCGAAACCCTGAAGGCACGGGGGGGGCAGCATCTGCTGTGGGGGGTTTTTTGGCTGCAGTAGGACTGTGTCTTCCCCACAATTTGATGGCAAACATGGGAAAAGGGGGAAAGTGTGGTTTATTGGAACAAAATCTTAAGACAACAACAGGGAAGGGGTTAAAGGCCCTTTGGGCCGCAAAAGGGTCCCTTTCCAAAATGGGCAAGACCCCAAACAACTTCCCAAATTTG